GCGATTTCAAACATTCTCATCCTCCATTCATTATGCTTGTCATTTTGTCTGTTGGTTCAATAATGGATTGCTCGATCCCCGTCACCATCTATGTCTTTCTTTCTCGTCCAATAATCCATGTTTTATTACACAGATTTATTAACTTAATATTGGGTGATGAGTTGATATCTTTGGTTTGGTATCTTGGACTTTTTCGTGGTCTGTTTCGGTCTCTCGTCTTGTTGCGCCCTTTTACTGCTGTATGTAGCTCCTTTACTGCAGTATGCAGTCCTCTCATTGCTTTAAGTATTTCCATCTTTTTGGTACTCAAGTCCTTTCAGTTGTGGCAGCTTAATGGACATATCCACTCACCATGTGAATCGAGTCTTGCTGAACGTTTATTGTCTGGTTTCGTATGTTATGGAATTTGTTCATCTCCCATTTTCATCATCTGTTTTATGTAGTTTTGTTGCAGGGAGAATAATGTTGAAGATTGGAGATACTTCTAACACTAAAGTTTTAGTCAAAGGCTTTGTAGCTATGTTGAAGATTGTTGTTTATGCATTTGCTGCTGCTTCAGTCTTGGGATTTATATCACTGATTGTGGTCTTTAATTTCCAGGGCTTCGTCTCACTTTACAGCTCGATGGTCGCTGAGACTAGAGGACTTCTCGACTTCATTAGTTGTTTAAGCGTTTTGTATGCCCTTATAGTTATATTTGCTTCCTTATAATAGATGTTTGTTTAGCCTGGATGGCTTTGTTTTCATGTTCTATGAACACTTTCTCCATTCACGGAGAATAAAAATCTATAAAATTGAAGTTTGACAATGACTGAAAGTTTATTTAAATTTATTGGTTCATTAGGTTAATTAGTAAATTGATAAACATAATTTAATGAGAAATTCCTTAGGATTGCCCTAAAAAAATTGTTGTCACAAAAATAAAAATGAATAAAATAGACTTAAATCTTTTATCAAAAATTAGTAAATATACACTTATATCCTTTGAGTTAACTAATCACATAATTTTTTGTTTAGAGTTGAGGAGTGGGTTTCAGGTTTCAAATTTTTTTTTTTTTTAAAAACTTAAAATTTTCACAATAAAAAATGTTATTTAGTCATTTTAGTTTTGAGGTTTATTTTTGTGATAAAAACTTAAAAAAGTCTATTTGAGAGAATTGCCATAATTTAAATATAACAAAACATTCAAAATTTATCAAATTTATATTTAAGTATAGATATAGCTAAAACAATAGGATACAAGATATATTAAATAAATAGTCATTAAATACAATAAATATATAAATAAAATGATTTCTTATAAAATGTAAATTTGTTCATTAGGTTAATTAGTAAATTGATAAACATAATTTAAATATAACAAAACATCCAAAATTGATCAGATTTATGTTAAAACTATAGGATAAAAGATATATTTAAATAAATAGTCATAAAATAAAGTCAATCTTGCTAGCTCTCCCAACCTATGTTATGTCTTGCTTTTTGCTCCCATTGGAGATATGTGATGCCTTAGCTAGTGCCATTGCACAGTTCTTGTGGAGCTCAAACCCGCCAAAGAGAGGCTTACACTGGTCAACATGGGATAAGTTATGTTTATCTAAAGAGGAAGGAGGAATTGGCTTCAGAATGATCCATGAGTTCAACCTGGCCTTACTAGCTAAGCAGCTGTGGAGATTGGCTCAAAACCCAAATTCCTTGGTAGCTCGAGTTATGAGAGGTCGGTATTATCGACTAAGTTCGCCCTTGGGAAAGCTCACTGTCAGTAGCTTATCATATGTGTGGACAAGTATCTCGGCTGCACGAGAATTATTGCTGTTGGGGGTTAGACAGAAGATACATTCAGGCTATGAAGTGAAAGTATGGGAGGACCCTTGGATTCCCACAATCCCCGCGAGGCCAGCACAAGCATCTGCCCCGGTATTGCACCCGAACATGAGAATAAGTGACCTCATCAATCAAGAAACAAAGTCTTGGGATCTGGATCGGCTGGAAAATTATGTTGACGCTGCTGACATACCTATCATAAGGAGTATGGCTATTAGCTCAACACATCGAAGAGACACGCACTGCTGGAGTCACACAAGGAGTGGGCAGTACACAGTCAAGTCTGGCTATTGGGTTGCTCGAAATATATTAATGAAGGAAGAGGATAATATAGTGGGCGAACCTAGCATTACAAGACTCCAAGCTCAGGTCTGGAAGATTAAAGCACCTCCGAAGATGTGCCATCTTATGTGGCAGATTATAACAGGGCAAGTGGCTATAACGAGCGCGCTGAATCATAGACACATGAGATGTGATAACTTCTGCCCACGATGCGGAGAACCTGATGAAACTATTGCACATGCAATTTTTCAGTGTCCACCGGCTTTACAGGTGTGGGCCTTAGCATCTATACCCACCAGCACAACCTTATTTCCTTTGGAGAGCACATATGCGAATATGGATTATCTATTCTGGAGGAAGAAAGCCATAAGTGGGCCAGAATTAGACAGGGACCCTTATCCTTGGCTAATATGGTACATTTAGAAGGCTCGGAATGATAAGTTGTTCAGAGGAATTGATAGAGACCCTCTGGAACTGGCCCGGTATGCGGAGAGTAAGTGTCTTGCCTGGTTCCAAGCCAATGAACAAGAAACTGTGACTACACAAGGAAGCGGAGATGCAGAACGTCAGGTCATAAGCCTACGAGATATTTGCATGATAGATGGTTCTTGGACCTCTACAGATCAATTCTCCGGGTGTGGCTGGGATTGGAAGGATAGCATGGGAAACAGTCAGTTGATGGGGTTGCGTAATGTAAGTAGGGTGGAGTCGGCTTTGCATTATGAGCTGGAAGCGCTGCGGTGGGCAATGGAGAATATGCTTCAACATTCGCCATGTCAGAGCTTTGGGACGGATTGTAAGGATTTGATAGAGATGCTCACGAACCCCCATGGATGGCCAAGCTTTTCGACGGAACTGGAGAGGATCTTGACGCTGAGGATTTGTTTCCCCGATTTCAAGATCACTTATGTACCTAGGACTCAAAATGTTGTGTCCGATCATTTAGCTAAAACTGCCCGATCATTCTATCGTGATCTCATGTTTGTTGGTTGTTCTATTCCGGTCTGGATTCCCAGACCACCTCAAGCTTGAGTAATAGATTAGCCTTTCGTTGTAAAAAAAAAATGTTTATCAATTTACTAATTTATTTAAATTATCTACTGGGTTTTAAGTAAATAAAATAAAATAGCTAAACCAAATCAAAAGAAACAAGATTACATATATATATGGTTTTATATTTCCAGACCGATGAAGTTAATATACATAAATAACAATGTCAAAATATAAACTAATTTTTTTTCTTAAAATATTGGTGTATGAACTCTTAATAGTATCCAAGGATGCATTCAATAATTAAATAAATAAAGCTTTGAACAACCGTTTTCATCCATTAGAAGCTGATATTTAATTTCTCTTGGAAACTAAAATGCTGTCTCAAAGCTAAAACATTTTGTTTGGCAAATTATTTCAGGTACTTTATCAGTCGTCCAAAATTTAAAGACGCGGGGTATTAAGTGTGATACCCGATGCAGCATTTGTGGCGCGGAGGAAGAGACGATTAATCATGTCTTATTTGAATGTCCCTCAGCTTTGCAAATTTGGGTACTGTCAAAAATTCCTTTCACTCCTGACATTTTCCCAACTTCTTCGGTGTTCACTAATATGGATTATCTTTTCTGGCGACTGCCGAAAGATTGTGATTCAAATAATTTTCCATGGATTTTATGGTATATCTTGAAAAATAGAAACAATAAAGTTTACAATAATAAGGATGGGAACTCCTTGGAAGTTCTTAGGATTGCTGAACCGGAGGGAGAGTTATGGGCAGACGCTCAACTCACAATTACAATAACGCAACCTCCTGAGCATCATGTTTTTAATTGGCAAGCTTCGGGGTATGCAAGATTTTGTTTCTTTGATGGTGCGTGGAAGGAAAAACGACAAGTTCTCGGGAAAAGGATGGTTTTATAGAGAGACGGGCTCCAAAGTGAAGATGATGGGTGTAATGAATCTCCGAAGAAGCTTATCAGCCTTACATGCATAATGTGAAGTTTTGATATGGGCTATGGAATGCATGAAGATCCTTGATCATTCAGATGTAGTTTTTTGGATAGACTGTTCTCAGTTGGTGAAGATGGTGTCCTCACCAGATGAATGACCGGCTTTTGCTGCACGCTTGGAGGAGTTCAGACGATGTAAAATTTTCTTTCCTACCTTCAACATTCGACATGTACCAAGGGCAACTAATCTAGTGACGTACAAACTTGTACGAGGTGATCGATGTTCCTCTTCAGTTGTGTTTTATGTCGATTCTATGCCATCGGTTTGGTTCTCTGAACCGGTAGATATCATAGTTTAATTATTGTTGTAAAAAGAAAAGAAGCTGATATTTTGCTGAGCCCATTTCAGCTTTTAGTGCCAAGTTGTGTAGAATGTTACAGACTTGCAGCTATTTACGAGGTCCTGAGGATATTAATTTGAGGCCACGGCCCAAAGACTTGCTCTTTTAGACAGAAATTTATGTGAGACTTCAATCAATACTAAGGTCTTTTTTTGTTAACACCATCGAAGAAGCTAACTGTACACATCGAACAACTCGTGATCGACGTTATGTGACTTCGCACCACCAATTTTGGTGCTTATTTTAATAGTCAAACTAGGATTTTAATCAAAAATATTAGCAAGTTTCGAACGATTTTTTTTAGAAAATCTCTAGAGAATTCAAACACAAGTCTTAAAATTACCAAAAAAAATTAATGAACAAGACTCCTCTGGAGTTAGCGAAGGAGTTTTAAGAAGACCACAAACAATTGCTTAAAGTTCATGTTAACTCAAATGCAATTCATTCAAAAGTACAACTTTTTATTGGAAACAAACAAAGGAAACCCGCACCATAAGGACAAAAATTTGGATATAACAAACCAAACTTGGTCCTAATAGGAAAGATTGAAAACTCAGTAGAAATAATGATTGTTAAGGAACTGAGACGCAGTTGCAAGAGCGCCACCCAGAATTGCATCGAGCACCACCTTGTCACCTTTGCCTTTGTTAGTAGCCGCAGAGATCACTGCTCCTGTTGCCGCTCCAGCCAACATTGCATTTTTCTGACAGCAAAAGTTTCATAAGTTCTTACAAAAAAAAAAAAATCTTAAAAACTTGTAGCACAATGCGTGTGTGAATGTGTAATACCCAGTCTCTAGTGCCACGGATACGTTCGATTCCATACTCTGTTCCAACATAAACTCCAGCCACAGATCCTGATCATATTCATTCATATGTTTTTGTTACAAACTTTAGCTTTTGTTATTCTTTAAAAATCAGTTTATTGTCAACGTACCCCAGTAAACACCTTCTTTGCACATCTTCTTAAGCTGCAACCATAATGTGCAAGTAATAACACAATCTCACGAAACTTAAAAGATGAGACGTTTTTTCAAGCCACACACATATTAATATACATAGGTTTGGAAAAATAGTACTTACCGCATGCTCAAGAGTGCTCTTGGAAACACTCCCTAACCACAAGATCAACCACACAAAACATAAGACCACAAAAACAGATCCACCAATGATTCAAGCTTCTTCTTTTTTTGTGGTTTTAGAACTTCTTACCTTTGTCGATGGCTTTGTAAGTGTCTTCCACAAGAGATTTTGTTACTCCAACCTAAAACCCATCGAGAGAATCAAATAGAAAACAATGTAATGAGACATAAAGATAAAAGCGAGGTCTGACCAAAACTTGGTCTAGTTAATTAAAAATAATAGAGAGATTAGTTTACAGCTCCGATCTTGAGAAAACCATCAACGGTGAGGTTGAGAAAAGGGTTGCCCATGTCCACTGCCACCGACAGCTTCGGCGAGCTAACGGTTCCGGAGAATGTGCTTGAAGGCATCTTCTTCTTCTTCCTTTGCGTGTTTTTGAGATATTTTCCTCTCTAGCTAGTGGATCTTTTATTGAAACTGTTTCACCTATTTTCTTGGGATTTATAAAGTTTCAAGATTGATATTTTTATTGTTTCTTTTCTTTTAAAACTTTTGATTCAACGGTGGAGAAGAGATTAACATGACCCACAAGGAGATATGAGCTGAGCAATGAAACTCGAGCTCTTTAAATGACGACACTACCCTCATAGACCATTCCAAAAACCAATTCACGGACTCTTGTGAACTCTCTACAACGACTGTTGCCGACATGTCAGCTTTATGGCCGACTTGTTCACTCTTAAAACACATTGGCAATAACTTAAAAAACCGCAACTTTAGAAACAAAACATCACACAATTTAACAACATAACAGTATCTCAACCATACATGCTTGAAACAAAGAGATCACAAGAGTCAAACACAAATCAAATCACATAGGCAGGTAGTTTCATTATTGTACATAGATTTTGATAGAGAGACATAAATGGAGAGATCAAATGGCAGAACCTGATCGAGATCTTTCACTTCAGTCCTTCCTGTGGTGGCGTTTCCTACTCTTCTTCTCATACCTCTTAGAAGAACCTCTTCCAACGCGTGAATCATCATCACCTGAGACATCAGAGTCAGAAGAAGCTGCCACTTTGTTCCTACGCTTCTGCCTTCTACCACTTGCATCATCCCCAGATGAATCAGAATCATCAGAACGGTTACGCCTGCTCCTCCTTCTCCTCTTCTCCTTCCTACTCTTTCTCTTAACCCTTCTCCTGTCATCATCTTCATCAGAAGACTCATCAGAATCATCATCATCATCATCTCTCTTCCTCCCTCTCCTCTCCTTCCTTCTCTTACTCCTCTGTTTCTCCTCCTCCTCCTCAGACTCACTCACACTCCTCCTCTTGTGCATCGTCCTCCGCTTCTTCGACCTCCTCCTCCTCTTCCTATCTCCAGAATCAGACTCAGACTCATCCCTCTTCTTAACACTACTACTCCCCTTCTTCTTCTTCCCATACCTCTCAGCAATAATCTTCTCAATCTCAGAATCAACATCAGAATCCTCCTCACTCTCACTCTCCTCCTCCTCCTCCTCACTACTCTCCACCCTCACCTCCCCTCTCCCAACCCCTCTCCTAACCTTCTCCAACCCCAACGCAACATCAGCTTCAATCTCCCCCCCATCCTTCCCCTCCTTAGTACTCAAAAAGTTCCTACACTGATACGTCAAGTGCCCCACACGTCCACACTTCTTACAACACCCACGAGCCTCATCATTATTCGATCCAGTGATGCGCGCTAGAGCCAAAAGACCCTGGAAGCTCGCGTAAGAGTTCTCGGGATCATCAGAGCTCTCCTGAGTCGTCTTCTTGGGCTCTTCTTTTGCCGTTGGTGCGTAAGGATCGTAACCGATCGCGCTCTGCCATATGCCGTGAGTTTGAAGCGCCGCGCTACTGTGAACACGGTTGTTCGCTGGCATGCGAACTCTTCCCGCGGTGGCCGGCATCTTTCACCAAACCCTAATAACCGAAAAAAAACAAATGGGTTCTTCTCAAAATCGATACTTTTCGACCTAGAAGTTCGATTGGTTACCTAAATTACAGGAATCTAGGGTTTCGAAATACTATCTGTAGATTCTAGGGTTTCTAATGGAATTGAGATTGTACGGAGAACAGTGATGCAAATGAAAAGGGGGGGAATGTTGCTTACCGGATTAGATCGAGATCGGAAGGAATCACCGGAGCTTTGGCTACTTTCCTCTCTTTAGCGTGTGATTGAATAAGAGAGGCGAAAAGGGGGAAGATGGGAAAGTGGGAGGGTGAATTAATAAAGATTGGGAGATTGTTGGGAACCGACTTAAGGTTTTAGTAGTTTTACGTATAGACCCCTAAGTTTTTTTTTATGTTTTTAAAATGTAGCCAGGTATATTTTCTCCGGTTTCGACTTTGGATGGGCTACATTCTGATTTTATTGGGTCTTGAGTTCCAATAGCTTGATTGGAACAAACAAAACTGCCCATAAGTTTAATGCATTATTTGCTTACTAGATTTGATCCGCAATTGGTTGGTTATACTTATACATCATATAATGGTGTTTTATTTAGATGCGTAAATAAAACCAGAGCAATTTTTTTGTTTAAAATATTAAATCAATTTGCTGTTAGTATGTCAACTATAAATTTGTGAATTTTTTTTTTAAAATATTACAGTTTTTAACGGTATACTATGTAACACTATATGTGATAACTTATATTTTAAAAATGTCTGAAAATTTAAATTCATTATATCTCTATTTTCACAAAATTATGTTTGATAATTTTTAATTTAGAAAATATTACTATATATAGTATTAAGAAAAATTCTCTATGATAGTCATTTTAACTTTATTTTCATTAAACAACCTCCAAAAAAGAAAATACACAAAATAAGTATTAGTAAAGAGTATATATATCACACACTATTAAAAGGACTATATAAAGCCACCTTACAATGTCAACATGGACAATAATATTCTACCAATAAAAAAGTTTTAATCATCCATGCCGGATTCGGTTATCACATTAGAATATTTGGTTTTGGTCTGAAATTCCAATCTCGTATTTGGTTTATTTCTGGTTTGATAATAGGTTACTCTTCCGGATAAATCTAGAAAACATTAGTTCTACTCTTTCCTTTCGACTTCCTCTGTTTCGATTTCATCTCTTCCGTTTTGGCGATTGAATAAGCCACTCTATTCAACTATTTGCTTTAATCATAGCTCCGTGTATCTCATTCAATGAAGTTCTTTCATCTTCCTCTCCATCCTTTGTTGTATAAAACTTTTCCCCTTGCTTATGTTTCTAAGGTTTGATCTCTTTCTATTTGAAAGCCAGTTTCTGTTTGAGATTCACTGATTCCTAATTCGAATTGAAGACATGTCCCCTGCTTCTTCCTATTTTCACCAAGATATACTTGTTTTTTTGTGTAGATGATTGATTATTAATTACAACAGTTCTAATGCATTGTGTTTGAGTCTATTTTTGCAGAAGATGGTCATTATATGAAGGAAGGTTATGCTGTGAGAGGTAAAGAACCAAAGGATGAAGTTCAAATCTACACTTAGAAAGATGCCAATCTTTGTGAGTTAACTGATTTGGTATGTTTATTATTTACAAAAATGGTTGTGTCTATTTGTTTTTGAATTGCATACAAAAGAAGTAATTTTTGAGAGTGAAAACTATGTTTTTTTTTTGTTTCAGGTCAAAGAAGTTTCTATAGCAGCTAGGAGAAGAGATGCACACAAGAATGGCCACTTTGTTGTCAGACAGGTAAAAAAATTTTTTGGCCTTTTAGACTATCAATTGTCTGGTCTCTTAAATTGGTTTTGATAATTATCATCTCTCTTTTATGTCTCCAAGTAATAGCTGAGAATTTGTCTGTTCAAGAGGTTGAAATGATCAAGGACATGTTCTCACTCTCATGGATGAAGACAGCGATGATAGAATAACTTACCTGAAGCTCAAAGCTGGACTTTAGAAGGCTGGCTCACAACTTGGTAAACCAGAGATCAAAATATTGATGGAAGTGGTAACTTTTCCACATTACCCCTCCTCTTATGAAAAGACCAAAACAACGTTCTTCTCTGAAAAGCTGATGTAGATGGGAATGGATTTCTAGATTACAGAGAGTTTGTAGCTGTGATCATTCACTTACAGAAGATAGAGAAGGATGAGCTTTTCAAACTAGCTTTCATGTTCTTTGACAAAGATGGAAGTACATACATTGAACTTGATGAGCTACGGGAAGCATGAGCTAAGAAAGCTGATCAGCATAGCATACTTGATGATTTCAAAAAGTATGGCCCAGCGTTTACATAACCCTCTGTTTCAGGGGCAATGCCATAAGTGGTTCCAACCCACCTGCACTGCCGCTGGTAATCACGAAACCGGACACAACAGCTAGGTTAATAGCAAACAACGAGGATGTGTTAACGAGGCAGAAGCTGATGGCAGGGAGCTGCAACTACTGGCTTTAATAATTGTATTGGACGTACTGAAGCTGCGAAAGACCTCAAAGATGGAAATTTATGACAGAGAAGATATGATCTCCGTGATGTCCAAGCATATGTGAATGTTTGTTTCCTTTCTCAATGATATGTGTTTCTGCGTGTCAAAATCCTATGCAAACTCTAATCCATGTAACATAAATATCCCCTATATATTAATTGAGAAACATTTGAAAAGATGTAACCTCAAGTTTGTAATAATTAAAAAGTAACTTTGCTTAGTTGTCAATCAATTAGCATACCAATTAAACTGACGTGGCAGCTTTAGGTTCAATTGAAATTTGCTAGGGAAAAATAATTAGAGACGCATATAACGCATGTAACATAGTTTATATATATCGCACGCATGTAATGGAAGAAAAGGAAAATATACGATTTGATAACGATTTGCATATATTAACTATAACTTCATTCCTTTTAATTTATGGAAGTGTATATGTAAAATGGAAATTACTTTGTGACCAAGTTCATACTTAATGGTAAAGGCAAGTGTATATGTAAAATGTAAAACTTAATATGTTAACTTGGGAATTTATGTTAAAATTGATATATGCAAATCGTAAATATTAATAGTAATTATGGAAGACCCCTTACCTATTAATACTATCACCTACTATTTCATTCGACCTAATAAGGCACAAGAAAAAATTTCTTTAAAAAATGACGACCATCAGTTCTGTTCTCGATTTGAAACCTTTCAAAAAGGACTGGAAGATCAAGGTTAAAGTTATTCGATTGTGGAAACATAATGCAGGCGCTTGTGGTAAAACCATAGAGATGGTTCTATGCGATATTAAGGTAGTGTGTTCAGAAGTTAATATGTTTTATGTAATATTATATCAATTATTTTTTTCACTAATAGCTTTACCGTTTTTAATAATCAGGGTAATAAAATTCATGCCTCTGTCAAAAACGAATTGATAAACAAATTCAATCCTTTCTTGAAAGAAGGCTACTCGAACATCATCATCAATTTCTCTTTGTTAAATTCTGTTGGTTCGTATAGAACCACAAATCATCCATACCGGATAAGTTTCCTCAACACAACCCGTGTTCTACCCAGTGAGCAACTGCCTGCAGATCTTTGCGGATTCCAACCAGTCAAATACAACGAAATACTCGGCGGAACTCTAAATCCCGATTATTTAGTTGGTTAGTATGTTTCATAATACTTCGTTGAATTGCAGCATCACAATATAAATTACACAATTACATTAATCATATAATAAAAATCTAGATTTTTTTGTGTATGTTGTATTTCGAATTTTCGAAAATGAGTATAAATTACTAAAAGTGTTAAAAGTCTCACATAAACTTTTAGGATCAAGATTTTAATTTTTTTCTATATTAAAATATAATGATTATAAGATCATATGAAGAAATAATTTTAGTTTATATATATATTTCATATCGTTTTAATTAAACTATAAATCGTATGAAAATACATACTTATATTTTGATATTTTTCTTCAACATATATTGAAAAGTTAATATTTTAATTTTGAAATATGTCATTGTTTTTTTTTAAATGATTATAAATTATTGAAACTACTAAACATCTTACATTTAAAAAAAAATCGTTGTTGTAAAGTTTTGTTACACATATATGCAAATAATCATAAAATCATATGAGTAGAAACCTCATTTAATAAATATCAATATTAAAGTGTGCCATATTATTATGTTTATATCATTTAAATTTAATTATATATCATATACAAAATATAAGATTGAATATTTTGATTTATTTACGCTAATTACGAATAAACAAGAGTGATAGTTAAATTTATATGCATACGTCAATTTATTACATAATAGTGACTGATTTCTTAGTTATGTAATATATATTTATTATTTTATTATTTATGATATGCAGAATATTATAAAATAAATTATAAATATAAAATATTTATTATGCATAAAGCGGAGATCTTAACCTAAGTATGTATCTTTTTAATTATTTTAAATCATAAGTATTTTTTAAATCTCAGGTCAAAAAAAATAAACGAAATGAGAATACACTTCAAAATCAATATTTATATCGAGTAATAACCAAAATATAAAAAAACACAACAAGAGAAAAAATTGAAGATAAATAGGATTAACACGTGAACGTAAACTTCTTATAACCATAATTAATTTTTAAATTGTTAAATCATGATATAAAACTGAGTTACTTTTTAATTTGTTAATTTTTTTTAATTTTTAAAATCATTATGGTTATGTTAAATCATGACCATAATTAATTTTAAATTCTTTATTTATATTTGAAAAACTTAAAATATTGTTTTTAAAAATAATTTAAAATTTAACTTAATTTTTTATAAAATTATTTTAAAAATAATAATTTGTAAAAAATATAGTTTTCTAATATTATTATACAAATAAATAAATTATATTAAATTAGTTTTGAAACTTTATATATTTTAAATGCAATTATTTTACCAACTGCTTCTTAAAAAAACATTAGGAAATTTGCTAATACTCTACCAATCAAGCCCAATGACACTCTGTTTATTTTTCATCACTCGAACACTAAAAAGTGAAAAGATATATCGAGTCCACTAAATTATAAGATTTGATCTACAACTCATAATTGTTTATGATCCTACGTATAGATAATTATTTAAAAATTCCAAAATTCTAAAATTTCAAATACATAAAAAAAAATTATCTGTAAGTTTTAAATTTATCATTACTAAAATTTTATATTTTAATTACGTATATTCACCCTGCGCAAAGCGCAGGTCTTATCCTAGTTCATTGTATTGCTAAAGACACTGGTTTTAAAGATTGGACTCCTTAACGATGCGATACTTTTTTTCTGTTTTCACTTTGATGATTTAACTAAACAAAGGGCCAAAGCCCAAAAAATTAGATTTTTTTTTTCACTTTGCTGATCCTATTTTATTATTAAAATTAGCCTTCACTTTTCACATAAAATTCATGAAACTTAAATTCAAACAAAAGAATTTAATAATTTTAAAATACAGCTGCATCCACTCAAATATCAAATACAACAGTTCAATCCCAAATACACTACAATTAAAATTTAACTCACACTTTAAAATTATGAAAATATTTAAAAAAGTAAAAAAAAATAAAATTTCCATATATTATACTATTATATAATTGTATTTCATTGAATTTTTATAAAATATAAAAATTATATATAAGAGGTTTATTTACTATTATATAATTTTATCGCTTTGTATTTACATTAAAATAGTTGTTTTAATTAACAGAAAACCTCAATTATAATTTTTAAGACGTTATCTGTTTCAGTATTTTTCATATACAGAAATAGGAACAAATAAGCTATAGATCCAAAGATCTTTATATCAGCTCTATTTTGGAGATTATTTGGATGTTATTAGTCCTTTTACAGGAGATTTCCATTACACCTGATGATTAATAATCGAAGAACTTCTGTTTAAATAGCTAAGTCATGTTGCAAGGTCGAATTAATATTTTATACCCACCATTGGGTAGCAAGTGTATATGCAAAACTCCACAATCCTTGAATTCCCATACGACACTTATCATTACTCATAAGTCAACTAATTATACATTAACCAGTTATGTAATGTTATAACCATTAGTTTTGAACATTTAATGATTAAATTAAGGAACATAAAAATAGCTCTTAGAAAACATTATATTTTGATTATCATATTTTGTTTTACTGCATAGGAACAAAAATATTAATTTGACATAATTTCAGGATTCTTTTAAAATTTATTACTTTTATATTTCAATTGTTCTTCATTTCAACACTATTTTAACACTTAAGAACGAATTCATATAGATTTTATTATCACCAAATAATATATATTAAAATATAAAAGTATATATTGGTTGATTTTAACGTTAAAAAATATTTGAATTATGGGTTTTTAGCAAATTTGACTCAAAACTCATGGTCAAACACAAAACTAACTTCTTCTTTTAACTCATCTTGTTTTTATCCTATCCACCCCATATCTTCATTTTATTTACGAAAATGCCATTAAATTTTTTTTTTACTTTTTTCGAAAATGGCCTTTTTACTCTCTCAACCTCATCATCTTCAAGTATTTACAACATTGTCATTGCCATGAATACTCCCAACAACCTTGTACAACCCAACAACCTTGTACAACCAAGGTTTGAAGCTTTTAATGCACTTAAAATCGATACTCATACTCTCTTTCTCAATTGTTATGAACTAAAAACAACATCTCCTTCACTTTGTCTCCATATTCATGCCAAAAACCCAAGCTTTTGATAGCAAATTTTTTATGGTTGA